ACAGATGACTAAGCGTCTGACTTTTTAAACGTTTAACTGACTTTCTGGTTTGCATTGGCGCGCGTGTGTGTTTGTGTGTCAGAAACTTGATCTCTGTCTCCACTTAGTGGTCAGAGTGTGTCCTCACAGCCACAGACAGCTCATACCATCAGAGCCCTGCTCCCCAGATCCCACTAATGTGCTGTTTTCTAGTGGTTTTATTCATGCACTCTATTCAGCTTAGCTTTGCTCTCTGCTTGTTTTGTTGGACACGGAAAACAAAAGTAAATCAGGTGGTTAGAGTTCTCTTTGATGTAGAATAAACCCGATAATGAGAGCCGTGCATCTTTCGGCTGAAACAAACTATACGTCTGAGTTTGTGTGTGTGAGACCTTTGTTGTGGGTTGGGTGGAGATCGAAGCCATGCATGCACGTTGTGGGTGCAGCCATATACATATTATAGAGACTGAAATTCCCAAACGCTCTGAGGCCACAACCTGTGAGAGTCAAAGTCTTCTCTGTACCACTAAATAATGACTACTGCCCTTCTTGTTCTTTAATCCCTGCCTCTGTTCCTGTCTCCAGGTCTCTCCTACAGCAGCTCCAGAAGCTTCAGTCGCTGATTTCAGGGAAGGTCATCCCCCGTTCGTGTAAAATGGCCTCAACTCAGACAGGAACATGCCTCATGGTAAATACTACTGCCGCTGTTGCTGTTCACACACATTTATGTTAATATTTTTGTTGTAATTGAGGTGATTTTATTTGCTTTTGGACAGCATTTAGATTTATTATAACTGTATAAATATTACAATTAATATGTCTCTATGATGTTAGCCTACCTGCCTCCCATTTGAAGTTTAGAAGATGCATTCTCGTTTGGCTAAATCATCTTAAAGCGGTCAATGATAATGATTGGCTCCTATCACTATATGTATGCTAAGCACAACTGTAGTGGTCATATTACTCATATCAAGCAAACTCATATTGATGATGGAGCGAGTATATCACATGCATCTCCTCTTTTCCATCAGTCTCTGTTGAATGGATCCATTTTTCCTCCTTTTTCCTTTTGCCGTCTAAGAAGTTTAAAAAAAATGTTTTTTGGTTCTTTTTTCTTTTCTTAATTTGGAATATGCACTGAAATTCAGAATTCAATAAGTTTGAAGTGTCTGCATGAGCCCAATACATCACGAGCATCACAGTCTGAGCGCTCTGGTGATTATTATTAACACGAGTGTTATGTTCCCCTCTCTCCGCAGATGATGGCCCTGTGTTTTGTCTTGGTGTTGGGCTCCTTCTCTCCCTGCATTTCTCCCCTCTCCCTGGTCAGTCACACCTCCTCTTTGCCCTCCTCCCCCGCTTCTTCTCAGTCCTCCCCCTCTTCTCATTCTTCTCCATCGGCGGACCTCTACACCACCAGTCAGGGTAGGTCTAGAAATATGTTCAGTATTTAGCATCTTAGTGTTTATGGCAGATTTGTCATCATCAAAAGGTGTCTATCCTTTGCTGAAGTTTCCTTTTGTAGCTCCAGTCTAATGCATTCAATGCATTTACAGTTATTAGACAGAGCAAAGAGCGCCATCACATTTTAGAAATATAATTTTCTCCATCTTCTCATATATACTGTTACAATTTTCTTCAAAATGAAAGCCCATTTGGAAAGTGGATACAGGTTTTGATTTTCCTTCCGAGCTGTTTTGCACTTCCCTATAAATTCACTTCCTTTAACAACTCACTCCTGGGAAAGCCCTACTGAAACCAGAAGTTAGGCTGTCATCAAGTTAAGTGCAACTTCCTTCTGCCAGCAACCATCCTCTGAGCGGTGAGGTTTAATAAGCTCTAACCCCCTAAAATTGACCAGACTCCTCTGCAACTGTCCAGGGAGAGAAAGGCACAGTTATATGTTCCCCATACAAATAATTAAAAGTGGAAAACACATAAGTTAATAATTAAAAACAAAACTGGAGTCACAAGAATTCTGTATCTGGAGTGTTTTCAATTCAGTGTTAAGAGTTGTGGTCATATTAGATTTTCTCCTCTGCTCCCTGTTTCGCCACACGTGTGTAAGCCCCTCCCACCAAACACAGAACCGAGCAGTCAACCAATAGGAATCAGCTTTTAGCAAAAAATATGAGAAAAGCTCATCCAGTTGACTTTAAACTCAGCATAGAATTTCCTTTGTTTCACAGTTGTTGGAAAGTTTATATATGATCATTTCTGATGGGTCAGGGTCTTATAGTCAGGCCCTGACCCTTACTATGAGAAAGAACTAAAAAATGTAACTGGGATGTTGTTCGAAATGGGAGATATTTTGAAATATGTACAAAAAGCTTTTGGTTTCACATAATTAAAAGCAACGATGGCTCACGAGGGATGTCCAGTGAACGGTGCATGTTTCTGTGTCGTAGTCCGCTCCCGCAGCCTGCTCTTCTACAACGAAGAGGCTCCACTGGAGGAGAGTTTAGCGACATCAGAAGGAGAGAGGCTACAGTCAGAAGGCCACTCCCACAACCAGATCAGCCGATACACAGCTGACGGCCACAGCAACCAGACAAGCGGGTCCAAGATAGAGCGGAGGTACAAACAAACTCCACTGTATGCTGCAATATTTACACGCCACTTGTCAAACATTAACCAGCCGTCTCTGCCTTTCTCCTCTCCTCAGAGAAACAAAACCAGATGGAGACTCTGAGTTTTTCTGACACAGCTCAGCCTCTCCTCATCTAACTTCTCAGCCCTGAATCCCTCCAAAGGACCCCAATGCTCCAGGTTGCTGAAATCAACATCCAGCTGGACCAAAAAACGTTTTCTGTTAGTTTGTTAGAAAATCCATTATCATCATCTCCTCTAGTGAGCTTAGATTACGGCTCCCATCCTGCACCTCTGTTACCATGCCTTTATGTACAGCGTCACTTCTCTGCTTTGACAGACTCTGTTGTACTTGAACGTTCTCGATTTTAAACAGACCTTCGTGCTGGAATCTCCATTGTTATGCACAAAAAAGAATCTTGCATCATTTTAAATACTCAACTAATCTTTTTTTATCTTTAGTCATTAAAAAATAGTTTATAACTCACAAAACATTAAAAACACAGTCGCCTTACTAAACTTTAAAGAACCTGCAGTCAGAGCTTATAGATTTGATTGGCTTAAACAGGCCATGAGCACAAAATAGCCACAGCTGCCAAAATGAAAGGCATATATGAGCCACTTATGCTGTGATCACGGTAAAGACCTTTTGTGTTACTTTGTTAGACAGCCCTAAAGATGACCATCTAAAACAGTTGTTTCCCGTTTCCAGAAATATATTTAATTCCTCCCCAAAACAAATGAAGTGTAGCGTTCCTGTTCAGAGCAAAGCAACGCGGTCTTTTTGCAAGAGCAAACAGAAAGAATTATGGGAATGTGGCTGAAAGAAATGCATTTAAAAACAGTGAAAAGTTGACGTCCACTGTGGGATTCTAGTTTTTATCATGTAGTTCTTGTACTTTTATTCCAAGATGCTCCTGATGTGCCACATTAGGTTGGTGAACAAAGCACGAAGGGCTGCATCTGCTTAATATGTCATCAATGTGTATTTTTTCCGCAGTATGAGCCTCTGTTGTGTTTTTAGGTCATCTCTCCTCTGCTCTCTGTTTCCCCGTATACGTGAAAGCCCCTCCTGTACACACAGAGTGGAGCAGAGCAGTTGACCTAATAGGAACATTTGTAACAGGAAACACTTTTAAGCCAAGTGTGAAATAGATAACAGCATGTGTAAGCACCAACACCAACTAGGCATCAACATATGCTTTTGGAAGCCGTGCCATTCTGAAAGTGCCTTCCACTTCGCTCAGTTGAATATGACCAACTTGGCCTTACACCTAAAATCCCACATGGAAACACAGGCCTGAAAATGTTCCTCGAACTAAACGATTTGTTTATTCTGTTGCAGAAAATGGATGAATCATCTTTTTTTAAATCTGGGTGAAACCTTTTTATTTCACATTCCTTTACACATTTGAGATCACAACAGTCGCAACTTGTTTGACAAAGATCTCTCTTACAGATCCAAAAAAAGTTTCGCTTAGCGCAATCAACACAGGGTGTGGATCTTTTATCTGGCTTTAAGAAAAAAAAAATTTTCCATTACGCTTCAGCTTTTTTACATCTGCATCTGACATTTGAATAATTGAATAATTTTTTCCAGCTCTGACCAAAATTCTGCTCTGTTTCTTTTGGGAGAGAGATCATATTTTCATACCGAGGGATCATAAAGAGGTTGGGGAAACATGACAAAAGTATTTTTATGAAATTATAAAATGTATATGTAATATATTTGCAGCATTAAAAAAAGAGCATATTTAATTTATGCATCAAAAAAAAGTTACTTTATCTTATTGTCTCCATTTTTTTTAAAAATAACATTAAAAAAAAAAGCATAAAAATACAACTTATAATATATTCTGAGCATCAAAAAAAGAGCATATTTATTTTATGCACAAAAAAAAGGAAACAAGGAAATAGTGCTACGTTGTGTTTTGGCATTTAGGATGATGTAATGTTTTACATGCTGATTCATCAGGTGTAAAGCTTTGACATGATCTGTTTCTGTCTTTTAACTGTAATACAGTGTTTATGTTCCACTGCTGTCGCATGAAAATCTCTGAGGGTTCCTCGCAGTAATTTGACCAAAAATAATCTCCAGAATATAAGAAAACAAAATATTTGGGAAAAAAGTTTAATTTCTATACATATATGTATATATAATTTTTTTTTTTTTTGGTAATTAAATGTAAAAAGCAAACTTTGAATAAACAACACAAAAAGTATAGCAATCCTGATATAAAAATGTGGTCATGCGACAGCAGTGTATGTTGTATTTATTCCTGTTTGTAGAAAGTTTGTATATATTGATGAAGCCATTTAAATGACTAATACATTCCAGGCAGTAAAACACCACTAGTTTTGTTAATTACATAACTTGATTGAAAACTGACCAAAAAAAACCCACTTTTTGACAAGGTTCAAGAAACAGTGGGGGAAAAAACACCCTTAATGACCGGTATTCCTTCAAAATAAAAGCCTTATCCATTATTTAAATCCTTTAAGAACGTTCTGCCACTTCAAAATCAATTTTAAGCGCCAGAAATTTCGCTACCACAGATTTTCTCCTTTTCTTACTCACGTCGTCTGTATCTGTTTCACGTTGTGACTGTTCCGTCATGCCGCACATGCTCCAAAAAAAAGAAAAAAAGAAGAAAATCATGTGACTGCAGCCTGTCATTTTCACCCGTGAGTCTTAATGCACCGATGTACATAAAAAAAAAAGACAACTTAATGTGCAGTTGTTGTAAATAAGGGTCTTGTTTTTGTATTGTGACATAGTCCAAGATCTTAACCTGTGGAATCTAATGGGGAAAAGAAAATTAGAGGGGTGGGATTTAAAAAAATAAATAATGGGGTGGGTGATTTTTTTTTTCAACTTGTAAAGAAACCTGGATGACGAAGCAGCTGCACAGTTTGAATAGTTGTCAAACACCAGGAGGTGCTTGATTATTCCAACCACTCCATGAAGATTTGGAATCTATTTGAATGTCCTGAGGGAATAATCAAGCATTTCCAGGGAGTTCACTTATTTGAAATGTGTATGGATATGTCGCCTTGGTTTGTTGTATAGCGTCTTGCATGTTTCTCCATACATAAATATATCTATGTTATCTTAGTATAGTCAGTAGAGTAGAATCCAGCAAAATATTAAAAAACTGCATCAGCAACAGCGTGTCGGTGGACGTTCTTGCTTTAAATGTGTTTCTTGTGATATTGAGCTTTGCACTGGTCTCAGTCTTCGTCCCGTTTAACCCCCACAGCTTCAGCTGAAGTGTTTGAATATGAGCTGCCTTCGAAGATCCTCTGCCTGGCTGTCACGGTCCTCGGGTCTCTGGTTGAGGCTCTTTGGCTGCTCGAGAGGCTCTGTTCTTTCCAGAGTCCAGGCGTCTAATCCAGACTGCAAGGAGGCGTTGTGGAGAACGCAGCAGGCCAGCAGGATGGATGAACTCCTCTCTGGAGAGTACTGTAAACAGGAGAGGAGGGGTAGCGGTTACAGATGCAAAAACCAACTCATTACTGGCAATACTACGCCAGATGCATTGCTATATTTCACTCACAAATAAGGTAAAGGTCTCATTTTCGGTTATGACCGTGGCCTGTTTGACTCTGGTACTGATGGTGTATCATTCTAATACCGTGAACTCAGCAGATTGTCAGATGTTATCAGCAGATATCACCTATTTGCCGATCTATCAGTATTGGCTTTTATGACATCTGATAAATAAAAAAAATAAAGAGGACACTGGAGAAACATCCTTCAGCTTTTTAGTTTGTCCACCAGAGGGCACTCTGCTGGGCAGAGCGTGAACAAATAAATACACTGTTTGGAGGTTAAAAATGTCTCATGGTTTATTTCTACTAATATGTTTGGGCCTGATTATTGGCTGTGACACATTTGCCATACCTGTAAGTATCCTTTGGTGCCATCTAAACATCTGAATCTGGTTTGGATGGCTCTGAACGTTCGATCCACGATCTCACGTGTAGCCGCGTGGGCCAGATTGTATCGAAACTCTGCAGGGGATTCTGGGCAGTCAACTGGCGTCATCAGCCATTTCCTCAAAGGGTAACGGCTGTCACCTGAAAATCGGAAAACTTATAACCTCTGACTCCAACGCCACAAGCTAACTTCTAATAAGGAATAAAAAGTCCAGAGCTCACCCAGCAGCCAGCCCTGCTCTGTGTCCTGCAGCTGTTTGTAAAGAGCAGATCTTTCTAGAACAACAGTGTCTTGGAGTCCACCTGCCCAGTGCGTTTCTGCGCTAAGTAACAGTCCCCGGGGATCACAAACCAGCTGACAGGCCACAGAGTGAAAGCCCTTCTTATTCACGTATGAGGAGTCTTCGCTGTTTGGTGCTTTGATGGCCACCTGGAAATTAAATTAAAGTAAGAGAGATGATTAGGTTACCCCTGTAAAAACAAATGAGTGCATGAACGTGCATGCACATAAACACACACACACACTAATTACACAATGTCATATAATGAACCTGAACACAGTCCAGCACCCCCAGGACTCCAGGAAATCCTGCGACCCTCTGAAACTCCCGGAAGGACTGCTCTACAGTGGATAAATCTCTGTTTGGAAAACATCATTATTATTATTCAAGTGAGATTTTCTTTTACTTCTTTTGAAGTAAAAACAAGTTTCTGGGAACACAAAGTTACAGTTTCAAATTTTTTTGTCATTCCTGCCTGACATCAAGTGGCATAACATCATCGTACCTGTTGAACGTGATGAACTGAGGTGCTTTCTCCACCAGGGCTCTCGTCACATTGGACACACATCTCGACATTGACGCCTGGCTTATACCGATCGTATCCCCCATAGATGTCTGGAATGAACCTGATGTGTAGAAACCCAGTGCGGCCAGCACCTGGACCTCAGGACTGATGGCTCTGGAGCGCTGGGTTCGCCTGCATAGACCCTGGAACACAACAGAGTAGTGTTTGCATATTTCATAAAGACAAAGTTAAACTGATCTCTGACATGAAGGCCCACAAACCTCTCTGAGTAATTCCACCAGATACAAGATAAAGTCTCTGGGGAAGCCAAATTGCGTGATGAGGAAACTGTCTGAGACTGAGTCCAGGTCAAAGCGGTCAAGGGTCTTGTGGCCTCGACCATGCAGGAGTAGATCACAGTCCAAGATGGCTATAGGGATGGCCATGCTGAGGATAAGAAAACGTTTCCTTTTAATTGCTAATAAGTGCAACTCAATTTAAATACTTGGTATAGCCTTATTTCCTCAAACCTGGGAGGAATTTTACATACAGATTAATCTGCAGCATATATTATTCCACTAAACATTGCTACAATTATTAATGTGCTATTTTGCTGATATTATATTTTCGCTAATAAGGAAAACCGCGTTCACGTTCTTTGTATACAAGAACCCATTAAATACCGAGAGTTTAATACTAGGGGGAATGTCCTGATGTTTTAAACGTTATTATCAGCAAGCCATCATTAGCTTTAGGGATAGCTCCAGTACATGTGAGCCAAGTCAAGCCAGCGTGCTAACGTGCTACCCTAGCTTGCGTTTATTATTATTATTTTTTTTCTTTGCTCACTTGAGATGACAACTTTGCTGTCATGTAGTAGTGGGACAGTTGCAAATCGAATTGAAAGCACTGATAAATAATTTTTGCACGATTAAGGACAATACTCTTACCTTCAGATAAAAAATAAAGCATTTATGGGCCCAAAAAACAAGTCATTGAAATAGCTAACGTTAACCTGCGGCTCTGAATTCGCAGATTCGCCACACAGACTGGCGTTTATGTTTTAGATATAAGTTCAGTGTGGTTATAATTTTTTTTCAAATCGCGTAAAAATACTTCCTGATTATTTTGTCAAAAACTTGTTTTTTTTACTCTAAATGTAGCAGTTTTGTATTTTAACGAAAACGCCGCGGTGAACACGCCGCTACACAAACACGTCGACATGGAGAAGATAAACAGAAAAGTGGCACAGCAGCTGCTGACGTTGTGTACATCTCAAATGGGCGTATAAAATGTCTGTGTGACACAGCTCTGGGTCTCGCTTGCATTAAACTGGCTTGCATTTTATTGAAGCTCCGTTGTTAAGGTCACAGCTAATGTAAGTACTGTTGTTTCGCGATCAAGCTAAAGTACGTTATTGAGCTGGGCAGCTAGTGTTAGCTGCAGGCTAACGGCAGCTGCTCCGTGGGTCAGTATCCTCATGCTTCACAGATTCGGCTTTGCGAACCTTAAACCTTTCGTAGTTGTCCAAAAAAAGACGGTACTGTAGAATTTGAATTTACCATCGGTTGTTGTGTAAAGAGTAATAAGGCTGTCAGGCTTTTTTTGTTTTCTAACATGACCTCTAACTATAATTTGGACAATTTCAACGTGGAGGCCTAACCTGCTAGCCTGCTTTTATTATTATTTTTTTGTAGTCCACTGTTGTTTGGAGGGCTAAGACCACGGTGATAAAGTTTTCCTTTTATTTATTACTATATTGTCCACGTTTTTCAGTTAAAAACGCTAAACTGTTGCCAGTGTGGTGAAAAATGCTTATTTTGTTAAAGTAATTGAGATATTTTCTTAGGAACTAGTCCTGAAATGGGAAAGTGAAAACCCCCCAACACGTGGACAATGGGGAGATAATGGGGGTTGTTTTCCCCAGTGTTTAGGTTTTTCAGTCACTTTTACTTAAACACATGTAATTGCGCATGCACATGTATGTACATGAATAGTTTACGTTTTGTTTCTCACTCTTGTTTGGTTGAATGTATACACAATAAATCTGTTTTAAAAAGCTGTAAGAAGGTGTATTTTTGTATTTTACCTTCTTGCAGCTGTTTCTTAGATTTATAGTGCACATATTACTTATTAATTATTTTATTTGTTAATGGAATTTGCACTACTTGTGCAATTTCAGTCTTATCTTTTACTTTCTTTGTGTTTATCATTGTTTTACATGTAAAGGTTTTGCACTCCCACAGTTTAGGGCCCTCACTGTGCTTTTACACTTTTACTGTAACTATCCTCCTTATTTGTTGTAGGCTGTATTATTTTTATTGTGTTATAACACAATAATTTCCCTTGTTTCCTCAATAAGTTTCTATTGATCATCTATCTTGCAGGGTTGTAACAATATGGAGAGTGACCTGAAGCCCCAGGATCAAAAGGACTTAGACAAGTTTATTAAGTTCTTTGCACTTAAGGTGAGACACTAACATAACTTTTTCTATACATCTGTAATTGCAGGTTTCTAAATGGACATTTGAGGCTTCAGAAGTGAATAAATAAATAAACAATGGAAAGCCAGGTTTTTATTAGTGTGGCTCAAAGCACTGGAATTAAAATAATCTTTTCCAACATATGTCTCTTTCATAAAAGTGCCTGTTATATTTTGGACAGGCTTGTCATCAATTTTCTATGGATTGTTTCTGTAAAACCAGCTCATTGTTTGAGCAGCCTGTTTCTGTATCTGTAGACTGTCCAGGTGATAGTCCAAGCCAGGCTGGGAGAGAAGATCTGCACTCGCTCGTCATCGTCGCCTACTGGATCTGACTGGGTAAAACAACGTAGTCATTCTCTGTCATGATTGTTTGGCTTTCAAGTTAACTGTGGATCTTTTCATGGCATGGATTATGGATATTCAGGTTAATATTCCTTCTAGTTTAATTTGGCCATCAAAGACATCCCAGAGGTTACCCATGAAGCCAAAAAGGCACTGGCTGGCCAGCTTCCAGGCATCGGGCGCTCCATGTGTGTTGAGATCTCTCTGAAGACATCAGAGGTAAAAAAAAAACCAAACAAAAAACCTGCATCCTGTTTTCTTGTTTTGTAAAAACTGGGCTTTGGGATTTATCATTGTTTTACACATTTGCAACACCAGCCAGACCACATCATTAACTAAATATGCAGCCTCTTTAATGTAACTGTGTTCGTTAGTTTTTCTTTGCTTTGTCTTCCTTCAGGGGGACTCGATGGAGTTAGAGACTTGGTGCCTGGAGATGAATGAAAAGTGAGTGAATTTTGTTTTTGCTTTAGTAAAAGTCTTCTGTAGGCCATGTGGTTCAGGGTTGCTGATTTTGCTTCTCCATGTTTGCACAGTATCAGCCAGCAGGACCACAAATCTTTTAACTATAGTATCTGAATCAGTACTGTTACTGATTCTCTCTGCCAAAACTTAGCTGTCAGACACCCGTACTAAACGTAGAGCTTTGTGAGCATCCAAGTCATGAAGAAGCTCAGAAATACAGTAATAACCAGCAGTTTGAGTAAAATAATTTGTATATTGGACATCACCCACTTTAATGGACAATGACGTCCTATCCTCAAGCCTCAAGCTGAGAATTTTGACCCTCACTTTCTTGGTGTCTTGAAGCTTATTTCATTGTAGGAACTTGTAAATGAGAAGGGAGTTCTCTGTAAGTGTACTCTGGTCTATGGCTCTTTTTTTCTCTAATGAGAACCGTAATTTAAAATAAATGAGTGTCTTGCTGTATTCAGTGAGATGTGAAGTCAGGGATTGAGCCCATAAACACATCAGTAAAGTGGGTCAGTGACGAGTGGCATTAGCTTCTCTTAAACCTCTTTAAATCAGACTTCTTTTAAAACTAGAAGAGTCGAATGATAATTTGACCTAACTGCTGAAGTGTTTCCGTTTGAAAACTGTGTCTGAACTATTTTGTTTCTGTAGGTGGTAAAGTGAGCCTGTCGGCACCCTGTCAGGTCCACCAGCACTGTACAAAACACTGTTTTAATTTTGGTATTACTCTGTGCACCTGTGCTTTTGAAAGTACAGTCAAAATGATCAGTAATGGTCTCCATTCCCCAAGCACCACACTGCTTTATTCATACAAGATAAATTTAGAGAGGGATATCAAAGAAAGGTAGTCGGCGAGAAGCAGACCTGGAAACACGAAAACGAGCTGCCTTACAGAGATATTTTTAAAATCCCCTTAAGCTGCTGTATTGTAACACATCACCGTGTTTTCTGTCTGCTGCAGGTGCGATAAGGAAATCAAGGTGTCATATGCAGTCTATAACCGTCTGTCTGTCCTGTTGAAGTCTCTGCTGGCCATCACCAGAGTCACGCCTGCTTATAAACTGTCCAGAAAGCAGGGACACGACTATGTCATACTCTACAGGTGATTTGTCCTCACTTCCAGAATGCATCATCTCACTCCTTTTTATCTTTGTGCTGTTTTCAGTCCATTCTTCTAAACTGCGTGTTGCTTCTTCTGTCTAGGATCTACTTCGGGGAGGTCCAGCTGAGTGGATTAGGAGAAGGTAAGTTTAAGACCTGATTTAAGCTTCTGTGAAAAAGCTTTGTAGAGCCTACGACTGTTAAATATTCCTTATATTGAGACAATGATTTCTGTTCTTTCTCTGATAAATTCAAAACTGCGTTGCCAAAGTAGCTGTAAATGCCCCGGAGGAGTTGATGGTGCTAAACAGGCCATTCACAGTAGTTGTAGACTGCAACCTGACATGTAATGACCCTTTTTCAGACTCATGTGATGAGGCACATGATCAATAGTGGGTCAGCGATCCTTTTAAGGGACAACAACATTAGGGCTTCAATACCTGGGACTCGCCACCGTTTGCTCTTAGAACTGAAGAAGCTTCTCGGATGAGAGGTTGAAATGTCTTCAAGAAACTTCAAGTCCAGTCGCTTTTCTTTCCAAGCTCCTTAGATTACTATGACCTGGATGACCGACAACCTGACATGTAGTTAAATTTCTAGGGAGGTGTGCGCCAGGTTATGTTGTACTTTCTGTTGTTCAGAGGTGTTTGTGGTTGTGCCATATGTCGCAGTGTTTTCCAACTGAAGAATCACCAATTTATGCTTCACTGGGAAATCTATGATGAAAACTGACGTGCACTTCCAGAGATATATAAGGAACAATAGTCACAGCGTCAACATAAGGACTCGTGGTAATTAACACGTAATGCACCCGCACAAGCATAAAAGTCTGCAACGACATCAGCCAGTCACATAGGTTGCGATGTGGGCTCTGCAATGGTGTACCACAGAAGTCTAAATCAGGACCAACTCGGCTCCATGACTGACATTTGTTAAATCAATACAGAAACACTGAACAACACACATCTCTTCATGTTTTCTGCTCCAGTTTGACACAGCAGTTTGATTTGCTTGTACTGTAAACATTTTTTCAAAAGTAAGCTTTCATCACTACTGTATTGCATTAAGTACTTTCACACTATAGGGCTGGTTTATATTTGCTTATGTTGTGCTTGTTTTTAAGGTTTCCAAACGGTGCGCGTTGGAGTTGTTGGCACCCCTATCGGTACAATCACGCTTTCGTGCGCCTACCGCACCAATCTGGCATTCATGTCTAACAGGTAACCAACAAATCAAAGCCACAACAGCTGTTCTTCAGAGAAGGTTCTTGTATATTTATTCCAATGGGAAACGCATCTTATGAGCAGTTTAACCGTCCTCCTCTTCAGGCAATTTGAAAGGTCGGCTCCCATCATGGGGATCATCGTGGATCACTTTGTGGATCCTCCCTGCAGCAGCCAGCGTCCGGCAAACATGGGCCATCCCTGCAACTACAGGTAGCTTCGCCACTCAGTCTGGTTTTGTCTCCCACAACTGCAGAGAAGTTTAAATGACCTCCAAGTGCAGAAGTTGAGTAGTCAGATTTAAGGTGATGCAATCCATCATTCTGAGGTCACACTTTATCTCCCTGTCCTTTATCTCCATGAGAGTCGAATCGGTGTATCAGAAGGAA